CGATTATTTCTTGGAGAGACCGACTACTCACATCCAACACACGACGACAAACCTCGTCATTGTTCACCCCATGTTCCAACCAGACATGAGCAATGCTTCGGAGACATCGGTGGTCAAATACAGAAATTNTTACAATCGTAAAGCAGAACGCTACGACCCGCGGCGACGTACACCTTACCCTTAAGTGACAGTCGGATTTCATGGCGGCGCCACAGGTGTCGCTATTCGTGATGTGATCTCCTCAACACCACCACCAGCTGCGATCAAGCTCCCGAGATACTTGAAGCTCTCTGCCACTTCAGCTGATCACCACAGAGAGTGAGTGCGGGCACAGGCTCCCGCCAGTCTTGTGTAAGCACTTTACATTTGGACAGCGCAAAGTACATATTATATCTGGATACCTCTATCACTAAGCGGTTCAAAGCGTGTTGGACTGCCTGTGTGTTGTCACCCAGCAAGGCGATATCATCGGCAAGTTCTTATTCAAGGACTCTGCTCCCTGGGAGGAGTTCAACTACACCGTTTGCTAGACCGGACAAAGCACCCTCTATGACAAAGTTGAAAAGAAATGGGGATATAGGGTAACGTTGTTGAATTCCACTGGAGACGGCGAAGGGTGACCAAAGCTAGCCGTAGGTCCTAACCTGACTTGAGGTATGGTGAAACCACTCTTTAAGGATCGACATATACTTCTCAGGTACTCCATTTCACAACAAACAGTTCCATAATGCGGTCGAATCGAGTCAAAGGCGGCGCTGATCTCTAAGAACACAACAACCGTTGGTCTTTGGTAGACATGACGGTGCTCAAGCAGCTGTCGGAGATTGAAGATTTAATCGACGCATCCATGACCGGTTCGAAACCCAGCCTGCTCCTCGCGGGTCTACTCTTCACACCTCTTGTATAATCAGCGGAAAATGATGGACGCCAACAGCTGTGACACTATCGGTTTTCAAGTTTATACCCCGATAATGGGAGAAGTCACTGCGCTGACCCTTTTTGAAGATAGGGACAACTATCGATCCCTCCCAAGATGAGGGAGCCCGATCAATCTTCGAAACTTTAGAGAACACAACTTGTAGTTCTCTAACAACCTTTATTCCACCATCTTTAAATACAGCAAGGGGAAGGCCATCGGAGCCCAGCGCTTTGTGACGCCTCATAGCTTAGATATCCTTACGGATTTCCGCCTCAGAAGGTGGGTCTGTTGTGTCAGACCATGGGACATGAACCGGAACAGCTGTGTGAAAAGCTGACGTTGGTTGCCAGCCAAACTGTGCCTTGAAGTGTGTTCAAGACGTCGCTGTTGATTAAGAATAGACAAGCCTTCAGCTTCGCAGATCGTTTTGCTCACACCTAAGGCCTTTCTGCCGGTGACCAGGATGAGGTGGAACAGCTTACGGGAGTTTTCCATGGCGGCGGCACGTTCCATCTCTGATGCGCGTTGAGTCTACCAGATTTCGCGGTCTCTGCGTAGGCTTGCGTTGAGATTACGACTCGTTGTGCATCGCATTTCATTATGCTTGCTGCAGGTTTGAATTGGTCGATGCGCCTCGAGAAGGTGTAGAGACTGCAGAAATCCAGGATTTCGCGACACGACGTGTCAGACCACGACTAACCAACCCAGCAGAATGCAGCGCATTCTTGTTAAGCGACCTGTGCAGGTTAAAGCTCTTATGTTCGAAAGATGCGCAGTAATGCAGAAGTGGAGTCTGGTCGTATATAGGCTTTAATCTTCTAACAATCGTAGTACAGAAGCTACAATCACACATCAGTTTATGACAAATGTCATTGGACGGGATTGATTCTAGCTTTTCAGCTAGCGCGTTCTTAAAGGCAGTTAGGCGTGCTTGTTCAGATATCTTATTGCAGTCTAACTATTGTTGTGTCGTGCAGTTAGAACATCCACCGAAGCACATGGACAGCTTGGAGCAAACTAATGCGTGGTCAGATTTAAGGGGAAATCCTCCAGTACAATCTGCAGTCTTGTATGCAGCCCCGCCATTTGTGGCTTGTAGCGATTTGGTCGACCTGCGTCCGTCTCTGATTCGAAGAGGGCGGACACCAAGTGGCTTACTGGCAGTAGGAGCCTCTGAACAGCCTCAGGGTCCCCAGAGAGGCGTAAGCGAAACTTCATAGAATGGTTTGATGGCGGCGTCAATCGGATAATGGAGCTGGAGTCCTGAATGCGAGTCTCTTAGTTACAATACACATCGATGGCTCGGGTCTCGAGAGTACGAGCTAAACAGGCCTGTAGCCCTATAAGCATCAGAATGCGCACATAAAATGTGTCTAGTTTGAATGGGCATCGAGGACGAAGAACGGCTTCAGCTGGTGAGAGGATTCAGTGGAACCTGGACAGTAGTCGAGGTATGACACGAGAGAATAGCGGCAGTTTCCATCTGAGGCGTTACTGTTAGCACAATCGTCTCAAGAACCCGAGAAAGGGGGTGTGTTAGGGGGTGAAGGTGAGATGAGAGATGNTGGCTCAGGGGACATGAATATGTGTACGGTGTCGATTGTTTATCACTGGATGCAGAAACTGGAGACTGAAGACACGCAAGATTCGAGGAGTTCATCATTGTTGACGTTGAGGGCTTTGTATTACTCAGTCACCCGGTCCAAAGTAGGCCTTGTTCGAGGAAGCACTCTAGTCTTTGCGCAACCAAGCGTGGACTGCAAGGCAGTACCGATGTTCCGTATGAGTCCGCGGTCAGTATTTAGTTCATTCGCCTCTTCTGGAAGACCTTGTCGAACAATAGATTTAGAAAAGTGGCAACAGTCATATTAAGGGACGGGTCACACTCTCCACATCACAACGCAGTCCACAGATATTTGAGATGTTTTGTGCGGGGAACTCTTGCCAGGAGGTAAAACCCATCACATCCTCGAGCGCTGACGCTGATCGTTCGCGACCGCCTATTCGGAGGGCCTAAGCCCACTTCATTCACGATTAGCCGCGAGGTGATGGTCGTTCCCCTATCCACGACCTGGGGACACCCTCAGTAGGATACAGCTCTTCTCTCCGAAGACTCAATAGGAAACGCGCCGTAAGCTCGGACTCGGCTTCGGCTGTTAGTATAAAGGGATCGTAATATTCAAATAAACTTCTCGGACATACCCTTTAGAGCAAGACAGCACGTATCCCAGTCTTCAAAGCCTATTGAGCAAGATGGTGGCACTCAGAAGCCGTGTAACGTTGTCTGAAGCGAACCTTCTTCGACGAAACTTAATGGTTGACAAATTGCTGTTGTCAACATATTTTGGCGATACAAAGAAGGCAGCAGCAGTCAAAGGCACTTAGTA